TTAACAAAATGTAATTACTCAGCACAACACAAATATTACATAGTAATTAGCACACTTAATGAAGAGCTGATAACAGCAACAGCGCGCTGTTCATCAAAGATTTGAATCCAATCTGAATCTGATGTTTAAAAAAGGGAGTTTGTTATGCTGCTGCAACATTGAAAAATGACAACAAAAATTCTTTATTTGGGAGGGAAATTGTTTTTCTATGGCAGTCAGGAGTAAGACTGCTTGTCAGCCCAGTCCCAGAGGGCTGCTTTCTATCTGTTTCAGACTTGATTTTCTCAGACTTTTTTTTTTCTTTTTTGGATCCCATGACTTGCTGCTGTTTTTATGTGCTGCAAGGCAGGCAACAAAGCACATCTGGTTGCTTTAATGATATGATTTCCCATCATACTAAGCCACCTCCATTATGACCTCCCACAGAGACATGCTGGCTGCACTTAAGCATTAGGTGTAGGTGTGTGTGTGTGTGTGTGTGTGTGTGTGTGTACGTGTGTGTGTGTGTGTGTGTGTGTGTGTGTGTGTGTGTGTGTCTGTCAGTCTGTCTGTGTTTATGGTTGATGGTTGATGGTTGATGTGTGTGTGTGGATAAAGTGCAGCGAGGGCAACACATTGCTAGTGATGGTAGCAGCGTGCCCTGAGGGCAGCTTTTGTTGCGAATGCCCCGGAAAGAATCAGAAAGAAAAAGAGACAAGGAGGGGTATTACTGCTATGGTGTGAAATATATCCTTATCTATGTGAACAGGAAAAGCTTAACACATGCTGCGTAAACCTTGCTAATACCTTCCGTTTGATTATTAAGTTTTCACTGATAATCGATACAAAAAAAAATCCATTTCATGTTGATCTTGAAACAGTTTTGTAAATGGGAATGTTAGATTTTTAATTGTGTAGTTCTTGTGCAAAAGAATTGCATTTACAAGGATAATAAACCTAACTAGCGCATGTAACTACCACACACACACACACACACAAACACACAAGCACAGGGGCACTCGTGGTGACTCGAGGCATTAGAAGAGCGAGCTGAGCATGTTTGACCTTTGACTGCCTCAAATCCCAGATGTAAATTTAACTAATAGTTTCGGAGGGTGGCGCAGGAGCAAAAGTGGCTATCGACGAGGCCGATCGATGCCACCTGCTAACGACACCACCGCTCCAATTAGCGTAACCTCTAGCCGAGTCCGACCGCCAAACACGCACGCTAAAGGGAAAGTCCAGGAAACATACAGCACAACTGAAGGAGGGAAAACAAAACTGGCTGCTGTGGATCAATATGTGTTCCTGCTGTGTCTGATATCCCTCGTTTTGATTGGGAATAGTGAACAGAAGGGAGAAATATGTGGAGCTGCTGTTGGAGGTTGTTTTTGTGCTCCTGTGGGGGAACGGAGAAGGGATCTGAAGGCAGGCCCTGCTAAAGAGGATGACTAACATGGTGTGGTTACCGTTACACTCGTTCAAGTTATTCATTCCAGGAAAACGAACACCGGTCAGTGCTAAGCTACAAACACACACACACACACACACATACACACTCTCTTCGCCTCTGTCTCTCTCCCCCCCTCTCTCTCTCACACCCACACAAACATACACATACTTTTTTTTCATTGAATTCTAACATAAACTTCTCATTTCTCAGAAGCTGTGGAGCCTTTAAGCCATCGGAAGTTATAAGCTGCTCCAACTTTCAGGCCAAAGACACTAGTTCCTTTGCTGAAAATCAACATTTCATCAAAACAAGACTGTTCTAATTCTCAAGCAGGAGGGTGGTATTCAAATCCAGCAACATTAAAAGTGAAAAAAAACACACACACCTAGAGGCTACACACTCCTGTACTCCTCAGGACGATGGTATAGACAAAAGGGTAGGGGGGCACATAAATCTCAGCATGCTGATTATTTTGAGGGGGAGAATATCACATAACAGCATCGTCAAGTAAGAGCACAAAGGTCGCTGTGTAATCTTAGCTACCCCGGGCATGCAAAATCATTAATCCCTGGGCACTGTGATTCTCCAGCTCGGAATAAACTGGAGGCCTTCAGTGAGGCGGCTACAGCACCGAGTTGGGAGGACGTTCAGCCAAAGTACGTGTTATGATGTGGTGGTGATTTAGTAGCAGGGCTGCAACACATGCAAAAGTGTAAAAACTTCAACCGAACGTCTGTAATTTAAAAAATGGTTCCTGGGATTACTTTGGAGTGCTGATTCATCAAGTGGTTAAAACAGGCCTTAGCCGTGTCATTAATATAAAAATAAATAAATCTCTCGCAACAGTTGAAACATCTCCACCCTCACATTCCAGCCAAAGACAGGGGAGAAACTTTTAAGAAAACGCACGGCTACCTTGACACAAAAAACAAAGGAATAAGATTGTAAAGCAGAGGTAGAGGTTGCAATGTGCTGTGGCTGGTCTGGCTTGCTTATTACAAGGTTATAATAGTGGTGGGGGTGGGGGCGGGGGTTGCGGGGGCTTACTGAGGTCATTAACTGGCATTGTCTCCTGACGTGATTAGTCAGGTAGCAAAGTCCATTTGTCACCTGCACAGGCAAATTGAGTTGGTGCTGCACTAGGGGCTATGGGGACTGTATAATATCAACTTGATTACATCAAGGCAGCTGCGGACTTGACACCTTACCGAATTTGTCAGCATTAATCGTTAGGGCCTGTCACAAATCCATCAGCTCCACAGATAATTAGGGCTCTCTCTAATGAAGCCAACGGGAAACAACCTTGCCCCCCCCCATACACACACCTATACGCACGCACGCACACGCACACACACACACACACGCACACACTGCCTTTCTTATAATTAACCATCGTGCTCCACAGAAATAAGAGTGACTATCTTATCTGCTCTTCCTCCTCATCTTCCTCCTGAAACACTATCTAAGCCTGCCTCGGATGAAAGACGGTGTCACTTCATTCTGTCTTTTAATTGTTCCTGCCTTCCCTCCTGTCCTCGTCACCATGAAATCACGTCGTTTAGTGATGAGGTGAGGCTACAAGTGCAACAACGCACACTGGAGAGTGCATTTTATTTATTTATTTATTTACACACTTTGTAAGGTTTCTTTGCTTCCATCTTTATTATTTTATGCAATTTCTTAACAAGAATTTTAAATAAAAACTGTAAAAAGATAATGTATAATCTGTAAAAAAATAAATAAATAAATAAACTTGTGTCATGGCCATTTTCTGTGGATCTTCACACCACACACACACAAGCTTCAAATTAATACTTGAGAAAATGTTGAAAATTATTGTTTGATTAAAAAAATCAATTACGTGTAAAAATGAGAATTGTCTATATGTAAATGTAATATTTACCAAGATTTTTTTAAATTTAGGGGGAGAATACAGAATACAAAAATTAAGTTGTTGCTAAAAGACCATGAACGTTGCCTACATTATAGCAAAACATAAACTGTAAAAAACAACTGATCAAAAGAAATCCACAATTATGACATTTGCCATTTCTGGTGTCATGGAATATTTCATGGTGGACTTGGCCTTGAAACACTAAAATAAATATAAATAACAAATAGTATTCTCCAAAAACAGCTACCAGGTGAGAAAAAAAAAGAAACCGAGACAAGTCTGCTGTTGTTGTTTTAATTGTCTGACTGCCATGCACAGTCCCACCATGAACAATTTCTCTCTCTGAGCAGCAGCACAGAAAGGAAGTCACAGGTCAGTACCAGCTCCCAGTGGAGTATCAGGCTAGCCTAGTGTGTGTGTTAGTTATTTGTTGCTACTGGGAGAGTGGAGTGGAGGGCGTTATCTCTGTCATGTTCATGGAAGAATGGAAAGCATCCCGTCTGCCAAGCTGTGATTGACCATTACAACCCATGATGCGCATGGCACTCAGTGGACAGTGTAATGGATCAATGGTGGCTGTGACTGTGTGTGTGTGTGTGTGGTGAGGGGAGGGAGGGGAGGGAGGGGTCACAGCAATGTTATGTTTTCATGCCTCCATCTACATGCAGAAACCTAACGGGAGTCACTCTTCTCCCACCATGGCTGACCTTTTTCGGAGGGCTATTTCGCCGAAGCAACAACCAAAACTCAGAAACACACACACAACACACACAACACACACTCGGAAAAGTCCAGTGAGGCTCCATATCTAAATCTGAATCCTTTCTCTCTCAGTGTGGGCCAGAAATCAAGTGCTTTGCTAGAAAGACAAGAGAGAAAGAAAGAAGTCGACAGCAAGCACCGGTTGAATGTTCTCCATCCTACACTCCTTCTCATCCTCCTCCTCCTCCTCACCACCACCACCGCCGCTGCCGCCATGATCACCAGCTCCCTGCTTAAAATGATAAAACCTGCTGAGTTCAAAGTCTTCGTCAGCTGGCCCTCCTGTTCGACCCGCTTTGCACCTCATATTTCAAAATCTCTTTAAAATTCTGTAACTGTCTTTTGTTCACTCCAGTTGTTAATGCCTAACTTCAAAGGCTCGGCCTCATTAGCACAGAGGTAGAAACCCCTGTCACTCATTTACATTTGTTTAAAGGCTGCAGGGAGACGAGAGGAAAAAGGGGGAGTCCAAATCCAAACCACTAGAAGTCAACCTTGTCGATCCTCTGCCAAGACCTGGTTTTATCAGTTGGTCACATTGCAAATATAATACTCCCCTCTAGCAGTGGATATTGATTTCATTACTGGACTGATTCTTACAGTGAATGTGGGGTGAATTTGGATGGGAACGCGCAAAAGACCTCGACATTTATCTCTATGAAGAAAGGGCATACGAGGGGAATCAAACATCTGATTAAAAAAAGGAGTGTTTTGGGTGAGTTTCCCTGTGATCTACTGAACATACACACCGCCCTTTCATCTGCTTTTAGTACCTTCCCTTAAAATAAAATGAGGTGATTTTCCACCATAATTCACAACTTTTTTCTTTTTTTAGCTTTTTCGGTTCCTGATTGAGACAACAGGAGGGTGGTGTGTGTGAGTGTGAGTGGCTAAACCTACCAGAGGCATGCCTGTCTTCATGGAAGGATTTATTGATGTTTATCAGGGATGAATAGATCAAAGACTGCCACATGACAGGCGATCAATCACGCATCAAATCAAGGATGGCAATCCTCTAATAAAATAGAAAGAAAGGGAAAAAACGGCTCTCACCAGTTTTCTCCTCTTCTTTCCCAGTCAATTATTCATCATTACTCACTCTTGAACCTCAAAAGCTCCCTTTTATCCCCCATAACATGCCATTTAGTTTATCTCACCATTCTTAAGAGAACTTTCCTGGCAAAGGAGGGTTTTAAAAAAAAAAAATCTCAGTGGCACTGCGCAGATATGTGCGCCATTTGCGCAATTAAACACATTTAAAACACAACGGTGGGTCAGGGATTGAGTTGCGCGCTCTGTTAATAAGACAACAAACATAATTTGAACAGAGTTGTAAAATAAAGCTCAGCATGCTGTACAGCTAAAGAATGTGATGTGGGAGGACATATTTTCATTTAACACTTGTAAATAAAAACTAGTTGGCTACTGGGATGGGAAATGGTCGGTATGGAGAGGCGGTTATACCTGCTGATCGCCGCGGCTCTTGCTGCTTTCTCCTCGGCATAGTGACCCTCACTTTCCACGGTGCTTCTCATGCAGGAATTAAAAACAAATCAAGTCTATCAGTTTGGAAAAATCATCCCGTTTTTCGGGGGAAGGGGTTTGATCTCGGAGGTGAAAATGTCGTCTCTTTAAATGGGCTGCTCTTTTGTGGACTTGAAAGCTGGATCGGCTTCGACAGTAAGCTCAATTTTTACGAAGGGATTCGGCCAGCTCCTGACACCTTCATGTCCTTCAAAGATCATCTTCCTTCATGTCTCTTATGGCAGGGTAAATAAAAAAAACAGACGGAGCAGCAGCTAGAAAGCACCTTGAAACCCAAGTTTTCAGTTCACTCCCCCTGGGAAAAAAATCCCCTTAATCTCCAGAGATGTTTGGAGGGGGACGATACTTTGTTGCGCCTTTTACGCACACCAACACTAAAAAATAAATAAACTCTGGCTTTAACCAAACAAATACGTCCCGTGTGAGCGCACCGCACAGCTCTGATAAGTAGTGTATCCTTGTGTTTCCTTTTCTGCTTTTGCCGGAGACCTGAAAGAGAGAAAGGGAGAGGAGAAAATAGATAGACAGGCATTAGATGGGTTAATGTCAGTCCCGTCACAACCACGCCACCTCAGCCTGGATCCAGCCTCACCAGTCCGGCGGAGACTTTTTCCTCCCTCCCCTCCTTCCCTCTTTCTCTCCCATTGAAGAAAAAATAAATAAACGAGACGGCCAGGCTTTCTCTCTTACTTACGTTTTAAGAGTCGTGGAAATAATTTCCACCGCTCATCTCATCGCATCTTGGACAGAGTCGGGTTTTTTTGGAGGGGTGGTTGATGCGGTGGAGAGGATATCACTTGAGAGAGGGGGGAAACAAACAAGACGCAGGCGCATCCAAGCTTCGCCAAGAACAGATCAGGTCGACATGGACTAAAATTTAGTGTCTCTTTTAAAAGCACAAAGAGGGGGGAAAAACTCCAGGGACCGATCCGAGGTCTCACCAAAAAAGAAAAAATGGAAACGCGGTGGATCCAGAAGCTGTTTCAGACAGTCTCAACTGATAGACAGACGCATCGAGTGGCTTTTCCTGCTACATTTTTACTCCTCCCCTCTCCACAAGCGTCACCCCTGACAGAGGAGCCTACCTGTCAATCTTTTTAATTGTCTTGTTTTCCCCCCTCTCTCTCTCCTTCTCTCTTTGCTTAAAAAGAGCCCAAACCTCCGACAAAAGAAAGGAATCTTTAACGGGAGATCAACTAAAACCAAACTTATACAAACATGTATCGCAAACCACAACAACTACTACTCAAGTAGCCTATGCGGTTCCTACAACTTAGATGTCATGTTTAGTTTATGAAAGCGTGGCACTGAAATAGTACAAGTTAGAGGTTCGGCTCCCACTGTGGGTGGGACGAGGGTTCAACGGTCCAATATGTTGCTTGATGATTTTTGAATGGAATGGACGCTTCCAGAAAATTACCGATGTTAGATGACAATAGATGAACCGCTACGTGAAACGTGCAAGCAGAATGGAATGCGAACAACACACTTTCACGGATCGCTGGCACGCGCTTTGGTTACAGGTGTAGGCTACATGTGGGCACAAACATGTTTCGGCAGCTGCCCCCTTCAAATAAAAATGAAAATTAAATGGGTGCGCGATTGCACAACACGCTGGGTGGTTATATTATGTATTTCTAGATGCTTGAAAAAGATCCGACCGGGCTGGTGTTGTTTTCGTGGGAGGAAAACGGTTGAGGATTTGTAAGGAGATGAGGATTGATTTGTTTCACCTTACTAGGAAGTGTTGTGTCCGGGAAGGGGAGGGACTCCGACGACAAGTCTGGGGCTCTGCTGTGCTACTTGCAGGGCTGCACCAGTGCAACGTTTTGATCCTAAATACTCGAGTCCGTGCTTGTTGTTTTTGATGAAGTAACTGAGTAATGTTACAAAGCATTGCGGCTTTTATTTTAGTTTTAAAGGGCGTTTTGCCCGGCCTGGCCTGTGTGCTGTGCATGTGCAGGGGGAAAGCCTATAGCGCAGGCTAATAGCAGCACTCGGGCTTGTTGCTACCACAGACGTACGCCAAGTTGTCCGTGAACTTTGTCACATTTCGGAGCCATGTCCAGCCTACTATTGGCGAGAAACAGCAGGAGAGCGATCTCGGTTATCGGCGGGGGGCGCAGAGGCACCGACGCACTTTCAGGAGTTCATCCGTCTGCACGGCGCTTCATCATAGATATGTCCTACTCAGCGCACTTCATGGATTTTCAAGGTTCTTCCATACCTAGCAGTATCAAAAAGCTGGTGGTAAACAAGCTTAGTCCTAATTTCAAAGAGGCCGTTTCTATGCAGACCGTTGCGGTCCCGACACCCGGAGACGCGGACTTGCTCGTCAGGAATCGGTAAGTTGCTGTTTTTGAAAGGTGGCCACAAACAGATCCTACTACTGTTTTCCCTCTGCGCGTTCGGAATAGCAATAGGTGATCCAAAGCGTGTTATGAGTCTATTTGTGGACCATTATTGTTGTCGATCTATCACATTAATAATGAGAAGTTGTATAAAGGGATCCGCTTACCTCGATTTACCCATGTCCAGCACCTGCGATCATCATCATCATCACAAGATGGCAAAATACGTGAGGAATAAGCGCTGTACTGTAATTCCAAGTTCCGCCCTCTCTGCATTTGTCTATCAATCCATCTCGGCATCTCTCTCTCTCTCTCTCTGTGTCCTGTCTTTCTACGTCACCAAACTGCAAACAGAAAGTCATGGGGGGTGCGGTGAGGGGGGGCTCAGACTGGCATCAAGAGATGATGGAGAAGGAGATGCAGTGTTACATGGCGCGGGAACTGCAGCATCATTTCTCTCATTCACAGCAGCAGCACACAGCAGTGTATTCACTGTTAGGGAAGAGTGAACCCACCTGAAGTCAGTTTCCATGCCTCTTTTAGCCTGACATAGACTGAGTGATCATTATATGAATAGATAAATAGTGTTAAACTATATTTGCTCTGTGTATGGTGGACAAGGCACAACCTAAAGAAATGCTCTTTTTGAATAGTAGTAGGATTGCTTACTATTTCTGATTCAAGCCTGAGGGAATATCTTACCCACATTTTGATTTACTTCTACATTACAGACTGTGTGTACTCAGGATCTGATTTCAAATGTTAAATTAGCCTTACACAAATTCACCTCAGGGTTTACTGTGATATTTGCCACCAATAAAATATATACTGTCCATCAGACTGAGTGTAAAACATAGGACATAAGTGTCTTGCCTTGCAAGACAGTGATCAGCTGCTAGTGAACTTTAGGTCGCCCTTGTTACACAAGTCATGAGATCAGTTAAGTTATTTTAATTAATAGAGAAAATAAATGTTTGTGGAATTGCGATGCAAATTCAGAGCCAGTTATCTCATATTGCACAGCATCAGTGCAATCCTAATAAAATATGAAAGTTTTAATGAATCTCAGAGTTAGAAATTGCTAATTGAAAAGATCATGGCTGCAGTGAAAGACGGATTAATTCACAAGGAACAAATTAAACTTTTTTCTTTATTTTAGGTGTCATTGATGACATCATTGAAGCAGATCTTTTGAAAATACAGTAAATCCTCAAGTTCCAAGATTCCCGAGTGCACATCATCACATTTTTGGATAAAACTTAAATGTAGTCACATACATGAATACAAATGTATGACCGGCACATGCTTTTCGAACTGAACCATCCTGAGTGCTTGGTCCAAAATTATACATTCTCTCGTAATAATTTTCTGACAATAATGGACTCATAAACAAAACATTTGCAAAAATGTGATTGTGGGTTTTACTATGAACAAAAAATGCAAGCCTAGAACCTACACTTTTATCAAAGTGTAGCATTTGTCATCACACACATATCAATAACACCTATCATGTTGTTGTATTATAACGTTGCTGTAACAAGTGTTGAGTTTTGAAGTTTGCTGTACATGGTATCATTTTACAGAACATCATTTTAGCGAGTGCTATGTTATTAGATTCAGAAAGATGTTTGTTTGAACAGATTGTGACTTTAGTGTCACAAATATCTTATTTTGATTTGTTTAAGCTCAAGTGGCTCAGTATTTTTAGTTATGTACGTTGAAATAGTTTGTCCTTTGAAGATAACACCGTATTTCCCTGTTAGGAAACTGATTGCATAGATGTAAAGTAGTCAAATCAAGGTGCTTTGTTGTATTATTGTGACCCATCTATAAACCACAGAAGCATTATCTACAAGCTCAAAGTACACGTGTGACATGCACAGTAATGAGGCACAGCATGCACGCCGCTCTAAAAGACAGTAAATGATTTATTTATACATTCCTTTCTCACATATTTGTTTCCAACATGTTACCAAAGTAAGATGAAAACCGCCGTCTTTCGTGTTGAGGCAAGAAGCAACTATCTAAGATTTTAAAAGTGCAGTTTGTTGTGGGTGTCTCTGAAGACAATGAATCATGACATCACGCAATGTGTTTTGTGATACAAACCTTTCCCTGTCAGTGCAGGACTGTTCTCTTCCAGAGAGAAAGGAATCATTGCCAAAACAAACCAGAGTGTTTGTGCCCCGTGCAGACATGTCTAGAGAAGGAAGCTGAAGTCTTGACCTTCAGACAGGAATTCAGGAAATGTGTGCTCACACTAATGACCACATAAAATCTGTTGTGCATGACTGTGAATTATATTTATGCATTTTGCTCACAATTTTATCATGTAAGATTTTTATTTTCTCACTTTGTAATCCACAATTATTTCTTTTCCTCTGTTTGTATTTCAGTTTTGTGGGTATCAACGCCTCTGATATTAATTACTCAGCAGGCCGTTACGACCCCTCGGTGAAGCCCCCCTTCGATGCCGGTTTCGAGGGTATTGGTGAGGTTGTTGGCCTCGGCCTTAGCGCCAGCTCCCGTTACACCATTGGGGACACTGTGGCCTACTTTGGCAGCGGTGCGTTCGCCGAGTACACGGTGGTACCAGCCAAGGAAAGTGTGCCTGTCCCCGCGGTGAAGCCAGAGTTCCTTGCCCTGCTGGTCAGCGGTGCCACGGCCTACATTGCCTTAAAACGTCTGGGCGACCTGGCCAAAGGTGAGACGGTCCTAGTCACAGCGGCTGCAGGAGGGACGGGACAGTTTGCCGTGCAGTTTGCCAAACAGGCCGGTTGTCACGTGATTGGGACCTGTTCATCCAACGAGAAAGCCGGCTTCCTTAAATCCATCGGCTGTGACAGGCCGATCAACTACACCACTGAAGACCTGGCCAAGACGCTGATGAAAGAGTACCCCCAAGGCATAGACGTGGTGTATGAGTCAGTTGGAGGCAGCGTCTTAGAACTCGCAGTGAACAGTTTGGCCAAGAAGGGCCGGCTGATAGTGATTGGCTTCATCTCGGGGTATCAGACCGCATCAGGGATCCCACCCTTCAGAGGGGGAACACTACCGGTCAAGCTGCTCCAGAAGTCGGCCAGCATTCAGGGTTTCTTCCTGCCCCACTTCTTAAGTGACTACAGGGAGGCTCTGGGTAGCATGATGCAGATGTTTGCCAAGGGGAAGCTAGTGTGTGAGGTGGATTGTGGGGATTTGGCACAGGAGGGGAGGTTTGTAGGCTTGGAGTCAGTCTTCCGAGCCGTGGACTACATGTATGCTGGGAAGAACCTGGGCAAGGTGGTGGTGGAAGTGGCAGCACCCTCTGTTAGCAATAGTAAGCTGTGATTTAGCTAATTGTTTAGGTATTAAATAAATCATACTTGAACTCAAATGACTGTTAAGTTAAAAACATAAAACTGTAGGACTTTAATCATTTTCAATCGAGTTTATGTTCTTTATTTTTGTAAGATGATTCATATTGCACTATAAGGAAGGTATACAATGCCTTCATGAATAAACAGTTAGCAACTTTACTGCTCTCATGGTTTTGGAAATTATACGCAATACAAAGGTATTCTTTTTATCATTAATGTAAGGTTTCAGTCGTTCATTTGCCAAACCTAATTTAGAATAGAAAAATCTGAAAATGAACTAATAATTATGCATCAGTGGTAATATTGCACAAATATGCTGATTAAAAATGAGAAACGGCAGCCTCTGTAATTTCACCCAGAAAATATGCCTTAGTGTTTCTTAATCTTGTGTGCCACCTCTGAAATTATTTCAGACCTGCTGCCATAATGTGCTTGCTCTTACCACTCTCTTTGGCACTTTATCTACCATAAATGTTTTATGATAGACTTCATTGTTTTTGTAATAGGGGCTTACATTGGTATGTGCGTGTCAAAAGTGAGTGCTGCTCCAGGTGTGCTTGGTATTTCATTGCCTGTTTGTGGCTGACAGAAACGGCATTCACACAATCAATCTTTTCATTCACATGCCCAGAAGCTGCACATAATAAAAAAAAATTAGTCCAGCTAACCAGGAGTTGGACTAGAAAATGCCATTACTTTCCCCCACTGCAAGTAAAAAAATCACTTATAGTGAATGTATTGTGGAATGCCCTTTGACATATTTTTTTCA